TTTCCTTTTTTCCCTTCCAGATCCAGGAGATAATAAACTAAGAGCCAGGCACCCTTTTAGATCCCATAAGAAACATTTTACAACCTGCTGTCTCTGAAGTCTGCTACCTGAGAGCTTCCTCTGCACCATCAGACGTGGTCCGCACAGTCCTTTATCTTAACCTAAATATTCCTTTTTTTTTTTTTTTTTTTGGAGACAGAGTATCAGCTCTGTCCCCCAGGCTGGAGTGCAGTGGCACAATCTAGGTTCACTGCAACCTCCGCCTCCTGGATTCAAGCAATTCTCCTGCCTCAGCCTCCCGAGTAGCTGAGATTACAGGTGGGCACCATCACGCCCGGCTAATTTTTGTACTTTAGTAGAGACGCGGTGTCACCGTGTTGGCCAGGCTGGTCTCAAACTCCTGACCTCGGGTGATCCACCCGCCCTGGCCTCCCAAAGTGCTGGGATGACAGGCATGAGCCACCGTGCCCGGCCTATGCTGAAGAGGTTTAATATAATCTTCGGAGAGGAGAGGCACGAGTCATTGTACTTGAGACCATTGGAAGCTGCAGTAATGGTCACAAACAAGCACGTCTTCTCACTTTTCCTCTCGTATCACACACGTGAAGCTACAGAATGGTAGACAGAAGGCGGTTCTCAGCCTCTAAACCATGGCTCAGCTGGGAGACCATCAGGACTAGGACAAAAGGAAAAAAGACCCAGAGAAAACCACCTCCTTTTTTTTTTTTTTTCTTTTGAGATGAAGTCTGACTCCACCTCACGACCAGGCTGGAGTGCAGTGGCCGGATCTCGGCTCACTGCAACCTCCGCCTCCCGGGTTCACGCCATTCTCCTGCCTCAGCCTCCCGAGTAGCTGGGACTACAGGCGCCCACCAGCACACCCGGCAAGTTTTTAATTTTTAGTAGAGACAGGGTTTTGCCATGTTGGCCAGGCTGGTCTCAAACTCCTGACCTCAGGTGATCCACCCGCCTCAGCCTCCCGAAGTGCTGGGATGACAGGCATGAGCCACTGTGCCCAGGCGATAGCCACCTGTTTCATGAAAGCACACAGATGTCAAACATCATTTGCTTCTAAAACCAAAAGCGGGATAAACCACAACATGGCAAAAAACTAACAACCTAGAAAAGGAAAGAAACACCTTGGTAATGGAAACCGTAAAAGGCGGATGAAAATCCAGCCTGGAAAAAAACAACCAACCAACAAACCACAACATAGACGACATGAGAAAATGCTCCCCTGGGCAAGGCTGTTGGATTAATGTCACTTAACAGCAACAGGAATTCAACAAACGACAGCACGAAGCAAGGCGATAATACAAGGAAATGATTTGAACGGCAAGATGAAGCACCTCAGGGGAAAACTGAGAATCAGACACAATCCTACAATTACAGGAGTAACAAATACCTGAGATGTGGCGAAGAGCCGTGAAACGACGTGTGGAGATTGGGTTTCTAACAAAGCAGGGCTGAGGAAAGGTGGAAGGATTGGAGCCCAGAGAGGGACAGTGTGGATTAGACAACAGTGAGTCGGCAGAAGAATAGACATTGTACTGGTCTGTTCTCACGCTGCTCATAGACATACCCGAGACTGGGTAATTTGTAAAGGAAAAGAGGTTTCACGGACTCACGGTTCCACACGGCTGCGGAGGCCTCACCCTCATGGCGGAAAGCAAAGGAGAAGCAAACTCTTGTCTTCTACGGCCACGGGCGAGAAGGCGTGCGCAGGGGAACTCCCATTTATAAAACCATCAGATGTCGTGAGACTCAGTCACTACCGGGAGAACAGTACGGGGAAAACCACTGCCACGGTTCAATGATCTCCACCTAACCCTGCCCTTCGCACGTGGGGGTGATTATAATCCAGGTGAGCTTTGGGTGCGGACACAGTCAAACCGTATCAGATGGCCCTTGAATAGAGAACACGATGAAGACAGAGAGAGAGAGAAAAAAAAAAAAACTACTCAGCTCTGCAAATCAGGAAATAGCCTGTCAGCAATGAAGAGTCGTCAAAGGGTCCAGGGGCAGATAATGTTTCCTGATTAATTGAAATATCCAGGGGCAGGTGATGTTTTCTGATTAACTGATAAAGAAGGAGTAACACGAGCCAGGCGCGGTCACTCACACCTGTCATCCCAGCACGTTGGGAGGCCGAGGTTGGTGAATCATGAGGTCAGGAGTTCAAGACCAGCCTGGCCAACATGGCGAAACCCCGTCTCTACTAAAAATATAAAAATTAGCCGGGTGTCAGGGCACGCGTGTGTAGTCCCAGCTACTTGGGAGGCTGAGGCAGGAGAATCGCTTGAAACCGGGAGGCAGAGGTTGCAGTGAGCCGAGATTGCACCACTGCACTCCAGCCTGGGTGACAGAGTAAGACTCTGTCTCAAAAAAAAAAAAAAAAAAAAAAAAAAAGAATGAGTAACACCAAAACAAATCTTGGATAATTTACCAAACACCCACGGGGGAAAAGTAACAATTTTTCAAACATGTAGCCAAGACTACAGGAGTCCACCACCACGCCTGGCTAATTTTTGCATTTTTAGTAGAGACGGGGTTTCACCATCTTGGCCAGGCTGGTCTCGAACTCCTGACCTCAGGTGATCCACCCACCTCAGCCTCCCAAAGCACTGGGATGACAGGCGTGAGCCACCACACCCAGCTGACTCTCCTCCTCTTAAACAGAGATAATCTATACGTTTACCCATCTCTCATAACTACTCAACCCCAAAGAAAGTGTTATTTTTCCAACACAGAATCTGAACATGGATGAGAATGAAGTCACTTCATTATTCCTGACAAAAATGCACTTTAAATGTTAACACACCCAACATGACAGAAAGACAACTAGATGCAATACCCTTCACTTTCCAAAACTACTGAAATGCCTTTTAAAATCAGTCAAAGCAAGTTATTGCAGAAAGGTAAATCTCCCATCTTAACCCATAAATGCACACAAACTCTTCTGTGGGGTAAGTGAGGTCAATAGCATGCTTTCTTTTTCTTTGAGATGGAGTCTCTATCTGTTGCCCAGGCTGGAGTGCAGTGGCTCGATCTTGGCTCACTGCAACCTTCGCCTCCCGGGTTCAAGTGATTCTCCTGCCTCAGCCTCCTGAGTCGCTGGGATTCCAGGTGCTGATGATTAATAAATAAAAATAGAATTAAATTGATGATGCAGAGAACATATTTTTTAAAAAGACGGATTGTATTCTGTTTACATGATATGCATGTAAAACGAAATCACACAAAATAATTAAAAACAAAACAAGAGGCCAGGCACGGTGGCTCACGCCCGTCATCCCAGTACTTTGGGAGGCCGAGGCGGGCGGATCACCTGAGGTCAGGAGATCAAGACCATCCTGGCCAACATGGTGAAACCTGGTCTCTACTAAAAATACAAAAAATTAGCTGGCCATGGTGGCACATCCCTATAGTCCCAGCTACATGGGAGGGTGAGGCAGGAGAATCACTTAAACCTGGGAGGTGGAGGTTGCAGTGAGCTGAGACCGCACCACCGCACTGCAGCCTGGGTGACAGAGCGAGAGTCCATCTCAAAAAAAAAAAAAGAAAGAAACACAGAAATATCAGGCAAGTACTAGTCAACATCCTACCAATGAAGTAATATCCGTGTGGGGTGCAAGAGTGTTTGGGGAGAAAAGCTTGCAACAATGTATTCTACATCAAGAAAAGTAAAACTATTTGAGGATGATGTCAGAGGTTCCGTGTTCAATTCCATGTGCCATCGTTAAACAGAAATGTGTGAAGAACTACAGAATGAACCAGGACAACTTGTTCAACGGATTTAGATTGCAAATACATTATGGAGTAAAAATAATTCAAGTTGGGAAATACCCCGTATGATACAATTTATCTACAAAACTTATGAAAGCCATTTATGTTGTTATCAGCATTTATTAATAATTTTGTGTATATTATATATGTCTCCCATGTACAGAAAAATATATACAGCCGTATAGAGTCAGTAATATATTATGTATTTATGGACGCACATATCATATGCAGAGTTTGAGTGTATACACATCTACGTATACAAACACAGTTTGAACACACACACACACACACATACACACACACACACATATACACCCAGACACACACACACAGACACACACACACACATCTCAAAATAGCATTTCCTACTAAATGATGACGTTGCCTGTTGACAAAAGACATGCTTAACTTCATATAATATTACACATTTTGAAGTTGGATATGTTCACAGATTACTCACATAAATAATAATATTACAGAACAAACAATTCCCTAATAATTATTATGTTTTTTTGAGACAAAAAAAAATTAGCCAGCCATGGTGACACGTGCCTGTAGTCCCAGCTACTCGGGAGGGTGAGGCAGGAGAATCGCTTGAACCCGGGAGGCGGAGGTTGCAGTGAGCCGAGATCGCACCACTGCACTCCAGCCTGGGCAACAAGAGTGAAACTCCACCTCAAAAAAAAAAAAAAAAAAAGAAAAAGAAAAAGAAAGGTAGAGGCACAAAGAACGACCAACGGAATATATTTGGACAAGTATACCTTCAAAAATCAATACCATGCTAAGGTCACATTTTTGTGACTTGTATTTGAACTGGAAAGCAGTGACTACATCCTTTTAGGCCAAATAATGTTGAAACCACTATTTACAACTTAGTGCACACACCGTTGCTAACCAAATACCATATAACGAACCCTAAATTGTTAGTCGTGATGCTAAACTAACTGCAATCGATAGCAAGTCATCAGGATGCCATAACTGCATCTATCTCTTGAACTCCTGACCTCAGGTGGTCCACCCACTTCGGCCTCCCAAAGTGCTGGGATGACAGGTGTGAGCCACCGCGCCCGGCCTTGGATATGCCTTTATCAACAGCATGAAAATGGACTAATACATACTCTTTTACTTATCTTAAAATGTACAATTAAATTATTTTGACGATAGTCACCCTGTTGTACTATTGAATACTAGCTATGAATAATTACATCACGGAGAATGGAATTCTTTTTCTTTTATTTTCTTTCGTCTTTTTCTTTCTATTTTCTTTTCCATGAAACAAAACATCAGATGAGCGTCCAACCATGATAAACTCTTCTGTGCCATTTTCAAACTGTCTTGGTCTATCTTTCATTCATTAGGCAACGTGTTCTCTTCTTCATTTTCAAACGACACTCTTAATACTGTCATACCAGGAGGAAAAAAAAAAAAAGAAAAGGATCTTTTAGTGAACAATTAGGTGAATTTGGGTAATTCAGCGAGCCATACCAGGTGGCATATTCATGTTCAGAGCACTGTTTTTTTTAGATGGAGTCTCACTCTGTTGCCCAGGCTGGAGTGCAGTGGTGCCATCTTGGCTCACTGCAACCTCCGCCTCCCAGGTTCAAGCAAAACACAATTTTTGTTTTGTATAAAAGAAATGTGACACTCACATGGCATCTTTGAGCCAACCTGCACTTTCTCCTCTGCAAGACTGACCTCCGGAGAAACAGGGAACTAAGGATAGAAGCGGTGTTCACCTGAACAGAATTAGGGGCCACTAATCCCGACCTCACGGCTATTGTCACTGTTATACAAATCAAAACAGAAGCCAGAGGAATCTGACAAGCAGAGCGTGGAGGAGAACAACGCTGGTCGGAGAAGCAAAGGGCACATCCAGTGAATGAAACTGCCAGAAAAAAAGCCGACGATGAAATGAAACACTCCAGGGTGACAGCTATTGAAAAAGAAAAAAAAAAAAAAAAAAAAAAAAACAGATGGAGGGCACTGAGAAACAGAAACAAAGAAGAAAGGGAGAAAATTAAAGTGTATTTGTAAAAGTGTGTTTCCTGACCGGGTGCAGTGGCCCATGCCTGTAATCCCAGCACTTTGGGAGGCCGAGACGGGCGGATCACGAGGTCAGGAGATCGAGACCATCCCGGCTAACACGGTGAAACCCTGTCTCTACTAAAAAATACTAAAAAATTAGCCGGGCATGGTGGTGGGCGCCTGTAGTCCCAGTTACTCAGGAGGCTGAGGCAGGAGAATGGTGTGAACCCAGAGGAGGTGGAGGTTGCAGTGGGCCGAGATCACACCCCTGCACTCCAGCCTGGGAGACAGAGCAAGACTCCATCTCAAAAAAAAAAAAAAGTGAAAAAGTGTGTTTACTGGCCGGGCGCAGTGGTGCATGCCTGTAATCCCAGAACTTTGGGAGGCTGAGGCGGGTGGATCACAAGGTCAAGAGATCAAAACCAGCCTGGCCAACATGGTGAAACCCTGTCTCTACTGAAAACACAAAAATTAGCCGGGCGTGATGGTGTGTAGTCCCAGTGACTCAGGAGGCTGAGGCGGGAGAATCACTGGAACCGGAAGGAGTAAAAAAAAAATGAGTTCCGGGAGGATGGGATGCGACCTGGAAGACAGAACCAGGGACCTGGATGGTTACTGCAGTGAACGTCAGTGCAGGATCATGCATGGACCTGCAGGGATGTACGGGCCCACCCTGCCTTGGAGATTGTCAGTCTCAGCTTAAAAAAATACCTGCCGCCTCACCCTGTCATCCCAGCCTTGGGGCCGGTATCAACAGACACCTCAAATAACCGTCTCAAAAAAAAAAAACTGCAAAATAATCAACTAGGAAAACCTAAAGAGCATGACTGAATGACCATTACACCACTGGACAAACCAAAACTCTGTCTCAGAAAAAAAAAAATATATGTGTATATATATATACACAAAAAAATGTTAAAATTAGCGGGGCATGGTAGTGCATGACGGCAGTCCTGGCTATTCGGAAGGCTGAGATGGGAGGATTACTTGAACCTGGGAGGTTGAGGCTGCAGTGGGCTGTGATTGTACCACTGCACTCCAGCCTGGGTGACAGAATGAAGTCCTGTCTCAAAACCACAACATAAACAAAAACAGAAATAAGTACAGAGGGCTGGACGTGGTGGCTCACACCTGTAATCCCAGCACTTTGGGAGGCTGATGCCTGTGGATCACCTGAGGTCAGGAGTTCGAGACCAACCTGACCAACATGGTGAAACCTCATGTCTACTAAAAAATACAAAAATGAGCCAGGCATGGTGGTGCATGCCTGTAGCACCCTCCAGCTACTCAGGAGGCTAAGGTGGAAGAATCGCTTGAACCTGGGAGGCGGAGGTTGCAGTGAGCCGAGATCGTGCCACTGCGCTCCAGCCTGGGTGACAGAGCAAGACTCTGTTTCAAAAAAGACGTAAGGACAGAGTTTGCATCTACTGTGAGAAGGGTAATTAGGCCAGTTAGTTAACAGGCATTCTGCTTTTTAATTAATTAATTAATTGGCTAAGAATTGAATTAATTAATTAATAGACTAATAATTAATTGAATTAATTAATTGACTATTTTATTGAGACTGCAGCTCTGTTGCCCAGGCCGAAGCGCAATGGCGTGATCTCAGCTCACTGCAGTCTCTGCTTCCTGGGTTCAAGCAGTTCTCATGTCTCAGCCTCCCAAGTAGCTGGGACTACAGGTGCCCACACCACCACACCCGGCTAATTTTTTTATTTTTAGTAGAGACGGGGTTTCACCATGTTGGTCAGGCGGGTCTCAAACTCCTGACCTCAGGTTACCCACCTGCCACGGCCTCCCAAAGTGCCCTGATGACAGGCGTGGGCCATCATGCCAGGCCAGTAGCTGTCCTGCTCTAAAAAGGAGACTGGGGATTCTCTTGACTTAATGAGAATTTTCTCTAGCGCAAGAATGAAACAAGAAAAACAAAGAGACAAACCAACAGAAAACGGGAACTAGGGTTGACTTAAAGGAAGCAGAAAAACAGAAACACACGTGACAGAGATGTGCCCATGATGTACCTGGAGATTTATGTCAGAGGGAGAGAAAACAAAAAAATAACTAAAGGCCAGACACGGTGGCTCACGCCTGTAATCCCAGCACTTTGGGAGGCCGAGGCGGGTGGATCACGAGGTCGGGAGTTCGAGACCAGCCTGACCAACATGGCGAAACCCCGTCTCTACTAAAAATACAAAAAATTAGCTGGGTGTGGTGGCGCACACCTGTAATCCCAGCTACTCTGGAGGCTGAGGCAGGAGAATCGCTTGAACCCGGGAGGCGGAGGTTGCAGTGAGCCGAGATCACGTCACTGCACTCCAGCCTGGGCGACAAGAGTGAAACTCCATCTCAAAAAAACAAACAAGCAACAACAACAACATAAACTGGAAAGTTTTTAATGGTGGCAAAATACGCAACACACATAATTTACCACTTTAGCCATTTTTACAGTGAACAATTCAGTGGCATTTAGTGCATTCATGATGTTGTGCGATCACCACCTGTATCCAGTTCCACAACGTTTCCAGCACCCCCAGAGGAGACCCCGTTCCCATTTGCCAGCATCCCCCTTCCCCTCACCCCTCCGCCCCTTGAAATGACCCAAATGTCCAACAGGGGACAGCTGGATACCTGCAATGTGTTTTATCTGTACCGTGGAATATTATGCAGCCATGAAAAGGAATTGAGCTCTGATATGTGATTCAACCCAGATAAGCATCATTCCATTTTACTCTGCAGGCCACAGGGCGGTTTAAAGAAACACCTTCTTGGGAGATGAAAATAAAAGGGATACTCGGCTGAGCACGGTGGCTCACGCTTATAATCCCAGCACTTTGGGAAGCCGAGGCGGGCAGATCGCAAGGTCAAGAGATAGAGACCATCCCGGCCAATGTGGTGAAACCCTGTGTCTACTAACAATATAATAAAAAAAAAATAGCTGGGCATGGTGGCGTGCACCTGTAATCCCATCTACTCAGGAGGCTGAGGCAGGATGATCGCCTGAATCCGGGAGGCAGAGGTGGCAGTGAGCAGAGATCACACCACTGCACTCCAGCTTGGTGACAGAGCAAGACTCCATCTCAAAGAAATAAATAAATACTCGTGATGACAAAGGATAACTACAGACGGTGTTTGTAAGCGTTGAACTAAGCACCTAACGTATGCATTCTCTTAAGTATTATCTCATAATTCTTGCAGCAAACTTTGCAGGTGAACGCTACCATCATCCCGGCCAGCCCACAGCCACATTGTCACCAACAACTGAGCTCACCTGTAAGCAAGCCCCTCCCAGAGGCATGAACATCTCCACCGCGAATTCTGAAAAGCTGCACCACACTGCCTCTCTGTGTGTTCTCACTTTGAGGGGACACGAAAGGGCTATGCTGAGAAGTGAAGGGTGTTGCTGATGGATGGTTCTGGGTTTTGATCTCATCTCGTTTCACGTGAAATACGTCGTTCCCTTTGCCGTGGGTATCTCGGTATCTCACAGCCTGATCTGCTGAGTTTCCCTGATGTTGTTGGCTCAGAAAATAGAGAGAGATAAGAACAGAGATAAGAAAGTAAAAGGATATAGAGAGATGAACCTAATGGAATTCAGGAGCTGCTCTCAAGAGGAGAAGAAAGATGTGGGGATATGGATTGCCAGACACACTGCAGAGTGTGGTGGTTTCTGTTGAGGGCTGGGTTTGAGAGAAAAGTGGAGAGAAGGAGAGGAAGAGAGAGAAGGAGAAGGGGCATGGAGGAGACAGAGGAGAGGGAGAGAAAAAAAGAGAGAGGGAGAGAAACGGAGAGATGGAGAGTGGGGTAGAGAGGGAGGAAGAAAGAGAGAGAGGGTGAGAGAGGGGAAGAGGGAGATTCCGAGAGAGAGAAAGAGAGATGAAGGAGAGAGAGAGGGAGAGAGAGAAGGGAAAAAGAGAGAGGGGAAACAGATAGTGAGAAAGACTGAGAAAGGAGAGGGAAAGAGAGAGAAAGGAGAGAGAGAGGGAGTGGGGGAAAGAGGGAAGAGATACCGAGAAAGAGAGTGAAAAAGGAGAGCAAAAGAGATAAAGAGGGAGAGAAGAGGGGCTGGGCGCGGTGGCTCGTGCCCGTAATCCCATCACTTTGGGAGGCTGAAGTGGGTGGACTGCTTGAGGTCAGGAGTTGGAGACCAGCCTGGCCAACATGGTGAAACCCCACCTCTACTAAAAATACAACAATTAGCCGGGCGTGGTGGCAGGTGCCTGTAATCCCAGGTCCTCGGGAGGCTGAGACAGGAGAATCGCTTGAACCCAGGAGGCAGAGGTTTCAGTGAGCCGAGGTTGTGCCACCACATTCCACCCTGGGTAGCAGAGTGAGACTCCATCTCAAGAAAAAAAAAAAGAGAGAGAGAGAGGGAGAGAGAGGAAAGGGGAGAGGAGAAAGAGACAGAGAGAAGAGAGAGAGAGGAAAGAAAGAGAGAGGAGAATAAGGCGAAGAAGGAGAGGCCAGAGAGAAAAATAAAGAGACAGAGAGACAGAGCCCCGTGGTAGGGACCACGGAAGGATGCAGAGGAGAAGATAAGCAGTAAAGAACATATGAATACACTCAAAGCTTTCAAAAGTGGGAACGGTGGGTGTGTTTTCCTATGAGAGCCCATGTACCTGCACCTATGAGAATATTTAAAATTACTAACCTTTCTGGTTCTTCAACAAATGTTTGTATACTTTGAGCTAAACCGTCATGGATTTGCTCCAAATCAAAATGAAACGAATCAACGTGACTTTTATTTAGCACAGTAAGGGGAAGGGGGGCGTGCAATGAACCTGCCTTCTTTCTTCCTTTAGATCCCAGAAAATTACCCGTTGAGACTTGAAGAGTTGGTGTGAGGAAGCAGGTTTTGGCCAGGACAAATGTGAATGAATCTTACATGGACATGACTCTTTTTTTTTTTTTTTTTTGAGACGGAGTCTCGTTCTGTCGCCCAGGCTGGAGTGCAGTGGCCGGATCTCAGCTCACTGCAAGCTCCGCCTCCCGGGTTCACGCCGTTCTCCTGCCTCAGCCTCCCCAGTAGCTGGGACTACAGGCGCCCACCACCACACCCGGCTAATTTTTTATATTTTTAGTAGAGACGGGGTTTCACCGTGTTAGCCAGGATGGTCTCGATCTCCTGACCTCGTGGTCCGCCCGCCTCTGTTGACACATAGAGGTGAACCATGTCCAGAGAAGTACGACATTGCTCAAAAGGAGTAGCAACGTTTTACAGGCAGGAACAAATAAATTCTGGTGGGATTAGAACATTGTGGGATGTTGTGCACAGTGTTACCACAGGGCACAGTCTATAAGTAGCATGTTTTTTATTTTCATTTTTTCACATGGAGTTGTGCAAGTAAGAAAATAAATCCTCAACATCCATTAGGGACAACAGGAACATCACCTTCCAAATGGCCAAAGTGCTGGGTGTGGTGGCTCACACCTGCAAATCCAGTGGTTTGGGAGGCTGAGGAGGGAGGGTCACTGGAGGCCAGGAGTTGAAGAGCAGCCTAAGCAACATAGTGAGACTCTGTCTCTAAAAATAATTAAAAATTTGGGCCGGGCACGGTGGTTCACGCCTGTCATCCCATCACTTTGGGAGGCTGAGGCGGACAAATCACAAGGTCAGGAGTTTGAGACCAGTGTGGCCAACATGGTGAAAACCCGTCTCTACGAAAGATACAAAAAAATTAACCAGGCATAGTGGCGGGCGCCTGTAATCCCAGCTACTCGGGAGGCTGAGGCAGGAGAATGGCTTGAACCTGGGAGGCGGAGGTTGCAGTGAGCCAAGATCGTGCCACTGCACGCCAGCCTGGGCAACAGGGCAAGACTCTGTCCAAAAAAAAAAAAAGAAAATTTGCCGGGTGTGGTGGTACATGTCTGTAGTCCCAGCTACTCAAGAGGCTGAGGTGGGAGGATTGCTTGAATCTAGGAGTTTGAGGCTGCAGTTAGCTGTGCTCACACCACCACACTCCAGCCTGGGTGACAGAGGTAGACCCCATCACAAATAAACATACACACACACACACACACACACACACACACACACACACACGAATGAATAAAAAGGCAGACGTGAAACAATCCCGTCTCCTGTGAGGACAGGACATTGAAGGAGTCAGACTGAATTTACTCTTTACACATCCATTCACCTTTAAGGATGTCAAATCCAAAACCAGTTCTCCCCTACAAATATTCCTGACGGGCCAGGTACGCTGTCTCACGCCTGTCATGCCAGCACTTCGGGAGGCCGAAGCAGGCAGATCACCTGAGGTCGGGAGTTCGAGACCAGCCTGGCCAACATGGAGAAATCCGGTCTCTACTAAAAATACAAAAATTAGCCGGGCGTGGTGGCGCATGCCTGTAATCCCAGCCACTCGGGAGGCTGAGGCAGGAGAATTTCTTGAACCTGGGAGGTGGAGGTTGCAGTGAGCCGGCATCACGCCATTGCATTCCAACATGGGCAACAAGAGCGAACCTCTGTCTCAAAAAAAAAAAAACAAAAACAAACAAAAAAAAATCTATCTATCTATCTATCTATCTATCTATCTATCTATCTATCTATCTATCTATTCATGACGACGTCTGCAAAAATACAGAGACATGTACCTTTGGCTGTGATGCTGTCTATAAGCACAAAAGTCTCAGAATAGCAGGGCACCCATCTGCAAGGAATGGGTTAAATATTACATAGTACATTTATGTAACGGAATAGTACACAGTCAAGAAAAAGGAAAAAAACCAGACATTTCCGTATGCGAAACCAGGAAGCAATCTTCCGTGCATTGGAAATGAAAAACAAGCTGTAGAATGATGGATGCAGGATGTCCATGCTTTCCTTTTAAATATATATATGCTAGTAAATGAACAGAGCATCACAGGAAAGATAACACATTGAAAGATGAGGCCCTGGCTAGGCGCAGTGGCTCAGGCCAGTAATCCCAGCACTTTGGGAGGCTGAGGCGGGCCGATCACGAGGTCAGGAGTTCGAGACCAGCCTGGCCAATATGGTGAAACCTGTCTCTATTAAAAACACAAAAATAAGCTGGGCATTGTGGCAGGTGCCTGTACTCCCAGCTACTCGGGAGGCTGAGGCAGGAGAATCACTTGAACTCGGGAGGCACAGGTTGCGGTGAGCCAAGATTGTGCCACCGCGCTCCAGCCTGGGCGACAGAGCCAGACTCTGTCTCAAAAAAAAAAAAAAAAAAAAAAAAAGAAAAGAAAAAGAAAAATGGGAATCTCAGGGAATAATGGGACAGGGATGCAGAGAGCTCCTACTTTGAAAATGTTTTGCTTTTACTGTGTGCATTTTCCAAATACATGAATAATGAATAGATATGTCTGTTTTCACAGTTAGGGTGATCTCACGGAGGCAGAAAATCGAAGGTTACACCCATGTTGATTGTTTCAACAGCTTCTGTGAATTGAGCTGGGACGAATCATCCGCTTGAGGTTAAAACAGTCTCATACTCACAATATACAAAGAACTGTAACAGCAAGAACAACAAACAAATAACGCTATTAAGATGCGGTCAGGCCGGGGGGCGCGGTGGCTCACACCTGTCATCCCAGCACTTTGGGAGGCCGAGGAGGGCAGATCATGAGGTCAGGAGTTCGAGACCATCCTGGCCAACATGATGAAACCCCGTCTCTACTAAAACACAAAAGTTATCCAGGCGTGGTGGCGGGCACCTATAGTCCCAGCTACTCAGGAGGCTGAGGCAGGGGAATCACTTGAACCTGAGAGGCGGAGGTTGCAGTGAGCCGAGATCACGCCATTGCACTCCAGCCTGGAGACAGAGCAAGACTCTGGGAAAAAAAAAAAAAAAAAAAGCAAAAAGCAAGGTATATTGGTTTTTAATCTCTGAGTTACGGTGAGAGCTGTGGATTTTCTGTGGATCCCACTATCGGGTTAAGGAGACTTGGCTCCGCATTTTTATTTACAAGTTGACTTTGATTTTTGTCAAGTACTTCTGCTGCATATGCGTTGAAAAGATCGTACACGTTTTTCTCCTTAGTGGCTTGATTGAGCTAATTACATTGATTTTTCGATGTTAAAAAACAGCCCGTCTTGTGTTCACAAAATAAAGCTCACAGGGTCATGCTGCCATATATCCAGACAATTTTTTCCTTGACTTGTTGATACGTTGCTGAGAATTTCTGCTTCTGGGTGTTGATGAATATCTGTCTGTGGTTTTCTTGCCTGACATTTTTCCTCTTTATGTTGGTATTGTGGTAATAATGTTGGCTTCATACGATGTGTCGGAAAATGCTGTCTTCTATTTTAGGAAGTGTTTAGGTAGAGTTAGGTATATTCCTCCCGTGACTGTTTAATAGGATTGGCCAGTGAAAACCTCTGCAGAGTTATTGGAAGGTGTTAACTAAGAATTCATTTGTTTGGCCGGGCACGATGGCTCACACTTGTCATCCCAGCACTTTGGGAGGCCGAGGCGGGCGGATCACGAGGTCAGGAGATCGAGACCATCCTGGCTGACACAGTGAAACCCCGTCTCTACTAAAAATACAAAAAATTGGCCGAGCGTGGTGGCAGGTGCCTGTCATCCCAACTACTCGGGAGGCTGAGGCAGGAAAATGACATAAACCCAGGAGGCGGAGGTTGCAGTGAGTTGAGATCGCGCCACTGCACTCCAGACTGGCAACAGGGCGGGACTCGGTCTCAAAAAAAAATTTTTTTTGGTAGATATAGAACCATTCAGGTTATTGGTTTCTAGCTGA